AAAGCTTGAACCTCGCCATTTTTGTCATTTTTGAAGTCCAGGTGTGTCTAGGTAAATGCAATGGCCATACGTTTTCTGTCCGTCTCCGTTTTCTCCATGAGACTGGTGATACAGTCTGAAGACACTGTTCAGGATTGTTACTGCATGATATTGTTTGCAAGTCCTGGGATGCTCCCAGGAAAATCAAGGGCATGTTAAGTTTAGAGGTAAATACAAGAAAAATGTCCTTTCAGTTGTGGTATAGTTTAGGAGGTGGGAACAAGTATGGTTTTATAGAAAGGCTGGTGCAACAGATGAGTTTGTATCTGCCAGAGCGGGTCTTGGGTCACACAATTGCTCATCTTGTTTCTTTTTGAATCAATTGGAGAGGAAGTTTTTCGTGCAACTCCACTAACATTTTTCAGTGCATAAAAGACAAGGAGGAAGGGTATGTTCTTAGTCTGAGCATCCACATTTTCCTGCTTTCCTTCAGAGCAGTGAACTGTTATGAGAATTTTAATCTTCGTTAGACTTGCCTCAGTTCTCATGACTGTTTTCCATTCTGTTTTCTTTATTACTTTCTTTTTCTTCCTGTCATTCTTAGCTTTCTATTTTTCAGTCCCAGTTTGTGAAGGGTGTGGGTTCAGAAGGGTTTCCTTCAGTTCCCGGTCCCTTGGAAGCATGAGAAATTGCCCATTGAGCCAATTCTCACAGCAAGGTATAAAAATAGGAGTAAAGAAAAGGTTACACAATGCTTGGATTGCAGCAGTTTGTACTAATGGGGAGATTTCAAAGCCGTGATTTGAAAAACATTTTTTAAAGTTTATCACTTCCGTATATTTTTCTCTCCCCAAGCTATGTTTCAGCAGCAGGAACTAGCTTTATGGATTACTTGAAGAACGGTCCTGAAACATAGGAGTCAAGTGCTGAACGGTCACGCAAAGCCAGAGGGAGACCATCTAATTACTACTTTTTAGTTAGAATAAATGATTTGCTTGAAAGGCTGGAAAGAGTTTCCAACCAGATAGTTTTGCCTGCACTACTTAAAAAGTGGATTGAAAGGCAAGTGATTTAAGGTTACTTTCCATAATCTGGGCCACGGCAGCAGAACGCGAGTAACGCTCAGGCAATGCACTTGTTAGGTGCCAAGATTCGCTCTTAGCAGCGAACAGAAGCTGTGCTCTTGCAAAGCAGGGTACTTCAGTGTAATTCAGTCTTGCAAACTTTTAAGCAACTGAAAGTTATCCCAAATACCTTATTCACATACTTAAAAGTTTTTGGGATTGGTTTCTGAGTGTTGCCTTTCTCTGTGTACCAAACAAGCTGAAGTTAATGACTAGCCGTTAATTTACTTACCTGCTGTTGTTGACTTAAAAGGCTTATATTTGCATGAAATTTCTTTAGCACTGGATTTTATTTGCACCTGATTTCCTTGTGATGAGATGGACCTCTTTGGCATTATCGATTATTGCCAAACTGAGATGCTGTCCAGTACTTTTGATACTATTTTCAAGATAATCCAATAAATTGATTTTAATAGCAGTATAATATTTTCCTAATGAAATGCCTATGTTAAGCCACAGAGAGGAGTGCTAAACTTGGATTAAAATCAGAAGAGAAAATCAAGTACACTGTGGTAATTTCATTTCTATTTGTTTGCAATATTGTTTTAAGAAGAAAAAGGTCAACTAAAAGCTGTATTTAATGATCTTCACGCTGATTGCAGCATGTACTGTATAAATCTACTTCCAGGCTCTTTCCTTTGTTTAACAAAAACGTAGGTTATTTGGAAATAGTAGAACTTTTTTAAAAAAATAAAACATTTCTTCTGTTGTGGCTCCAAGGTATATCTTGCATGTTTGCAGTGTTTACCTGGAGCACTGTTATGTAATGGTCTCGAATGCAAAGACAACTGGCTTTTTAATTGCACGTTCAGTCCTTGCCAGGGAAGCTGCCGAACAAGGGCATCTTGGACCCTTTCCGTGGCAAGAGTCGCTTAATGATTAGCGTGGTATCTCCTCAGGTGACTACCCGTTGCCAAGGAGCTCTTGCTCTCCTTTGCTGCCCAAGAATGTAATCTTTTCAATAGTGAAAAAAGGGACTAGTTGTACCCAAAAATAAATAGCTACAGAAAAGCAGAGGGGTCTGTTTTATTTAAACAGCCTGGTAATAGCACTGGTTAAAGTAACCAGCTGGATAACAGCTAGGTAATGACCGCCTCAAACGATGCAAGACATTATGGTGAAGCACATGCATTTAAAAAAAACCTGGAAAAAAAGCCTGATTGAAAAGGCATTTTATACTTGAGAACTCTCAGCTTATCTCCCTGGCCTTTCTGATTTTAATGAAGACCTGCACTGCACCACTGGAGCTTTTCCTTGAGAGGAAGTTGACAGGCTGAACCTGTGGCCATTTCATGAGGCTCGCTGAAATCTTTGATCTTTATTTGTATATCTGATCTTTTTTTATGATTGCAGCACATGTTATAAAATCATCAGTGCAAAGAGTGAAGTGGATTTTTAGTCTGAGTGAAATAAGTGCTATAAAATGGGATTTTGGCTATACATGAAAAATAAGGTTAACTCATTAAAAACTGTTTTATTTTAAACATATTAAAGATCAATCAGATTAATTGAAATCTAATTAATTAGAAATCACAAAATTGGCATAAAATTATAGAAATACATCTGAAATTGTAGAAATCCATGCAGATCTTTCGATTCGGTATTATAGTCACAATCTCAGATTCAGATGTGCTAAAATTCCCTAGCACATGCTGAGTAAATTAAGTGCTTTAAAGACAGCTTGAGTGAGTGATTTCTGTTGTATACTAATCATAGAATAACTGAGGTTGGAAGGTACTTCTGGAGATCATCTAGTCCAACCCCCTGCTCAACGCGGATCTGATTAGATCAGGTGCTCAAGGCCACGTCCTGTCAAGTCTTGAACACCTCTGAGAACGGAAACTTCACATTGTCACTGCGTAACCTCTTCCAGTATTTGACCCTCCTCATGGTAAAAAGCTTTTCCTAATATCTAATCAGAATTTCCCATGATCTAGCTTGTGTCCATTGCCTCTTATCCTGTCGCTGTGCACCTCTGAGAAGAGTCTGCTTCCATTTTTCTCTGCATCCCCCTGTCAGGTAGTTGCAGATAGCAATAAGGTCTTCCCTGAGCCTTCTCTTTTTAAGGCTGAACAAGCCCAGTTCTCTCTGTCTCTCCTCCTATGCTACGTGCTTCAGCCCATGACTCTCTTGATGGCCTCTGCTGAGCTCAGTCCAGTATATTGATGTCTGTCTTGTCCTGGGGAACCCGGAACTGGACACAGTACTCCAGATGCGATCCTACAAGTGCCAAATAAAGAAGGATCGTTTCCCTGGGCCTACTGGCTACACTCTTGCTAATAAAGACCAGGAGGTGGATGGCTGCCTTTGCTGCAAGGGCATGCTAGTGACTCACATTCAACTTGTTCAGCGGCTCCTTTTCTGGAGAACTGCTTCTCACCCAGTAGACCTCCACCTGTATTGTTGTACGGGGTTATTCCTTCCCAGATGCAAGACTCTGCATTTCCTTTTGTTGAACTTTGTGAGGTTCCTGTAAGTCCACTTCTCCAGCCTGACCGATACCTCCAAATAGCTGCCCTGCCCTCCAGCCTGTTGACTACTCTTCTCAATTTGGTGTTATCCACAGAGTTGCCGAGGGGTGTTCCAAGCTGTCATCCAGGTTGTTAAGGAAGGCATCAAACAGCACTGGTCTCAGTATTGATCTTGAGGGATGCCGCTAGTTACTGGCCTCGAGCTGGACTGTGCACCACTGGTCACAACTCTTTGAACCCAGAAGTCCAGCCAATTCTCCACCCACCTTGTTATCCACTGATACAGTCTCTTATCTCACCAATTTGGTGAAAAGGAGACTATGGGAGACCATGTCAAAGGCATATCGCTAAAGTCAAAGTATACAACACCCACTATCCTCTGCCTGTCCACAGCTCCAGTCGTCATAGAAAGCAGTGAGGTTGGTCAGGCATGATTTGCCGTTGGTAAGTCCACGTTGCTGCTCCCAGTCGCCACCTTGTCCTTCTTGCATTTAGAAATGTCTTCTAAGAGATGTGTGATGCGGCTGACACAATGCGTTAAGCTCTGGATAGTTCTATTTTTTCCATCCACATGGAAGTAGCTGCTTAATCTTCCATGTCACACAGATGTACCTTGTAAGGTAAAAGTTTGGGAACGATGTCAAATCTTTTGACAGCTGTTTTCTGTGCCCTTGGTTGGTAACTTCCATCCACATAAAATCAGCTACGGGACAGAGAAGGATAAACAGAAGCAACTTTAAAAAAAAAAAAAAAAAAGCCTCAAAAAAGCAAACAAACAGAACGTACTTCTTTCCTGCTTCCAAAGGATACTCAGTTTTCCTTGTAGTGCTATGAGCTCTGGCTTAAACATCTATACTAGGAATAATTTGCAAAATGAACTCGATCAGATGGATCAGAACATCTCAGTCAAATGCCTAATATTGGCAGAGACCCCACAGGACATCAGTGTGGGAATGGCACCTGCTTATATTCCTAGTCTGGACTTGAATCTGTTTCAGGGGACAGTTTAGGTTAAGCTGGACATTGCTCACAAATGTTCTTGGTTTCTCATGATGTGGCTAACTCAAATCTCTTCCTTCCGTATTTTAGGACCTTTTCCTAAGGTACTTCTCCAAGGGAGTGACTGCAATCCTGCTAGTCCGTCTCAGGAATACTGATGCTTCTTAATAGGGTGGGGGGTTTGAGGCCAGTATTGCCCACTAATTTCAGGAACGTTGTCTGGTGTTCAGATGATTCAGATAAACTTCAGAGGAAAAAGCCCTCGGTTTCCCTTTTACCGTTTAATCTATTTAATTGTTATGCTTTATCAAATTCCTTTCAGAAGGAAACACGTCCAATTTCAGTTCTAGCATATTGCAATTTATACTTTTTTTCTGTATTAATTTACATCACCTGAGCTTTTTTGTTTTTGTTTTTTTCCCCATAGGAATCTCCCCAAGACAGTGCTATCACCCGAGACATCAATCGAACGTTCCCTGCTCACGATTATTTTAAAGATACTGGGGGAGACGGCCAGGACTCCCTGTACAAAATATGCAAGGTATTCTTTAAATTCTTATTTACTAGTTCTGGTAATTTATACTGTCCACCATTAACAAACGTAATTCAATAACCTGTGGAATCTGTGTATGTGTTAGAGAGTTGGCTGTGCCATGGAGATAGATTATCGCACCAGACTCAGGCTGGTTCTTTATTATAGATGTTTTTCTTGTTAATAGTGTAATTCAGATAAGAGTCCTAAAATAGCAAACCTTTCTGGATCCCTGAACGCTCAGATGTTTGCTACAGAGACTTCACATAGCTTCAGAAATGGCAGCCTGGATCAAGTTGGACAAATTATCTGCTGCTGTGGATTTGAGGGCTAATTCCGTACTGATCAAGAGCAGCTCATCTTTGGCTGCAGCACGCTCCCTGGTTGTCAGTATTATCTAAGTTATCTTGTTACTCTGGATACCTAGTTTTCTTTTATGCCAAATACAAAGAGTTGATTGTAATTGTGCACTTTCAAGCCTATTCTCCACAAAGTAAACCTTTTTAGTATTAGTCTTACACTTTCTTGGTTTGCTGCTTATTTTTCCTGCACATTTGGTCTGAGTGGGTATGTTACTGTAATGTGTTGGTCACCTGGATTATGAATTATAATTTGGATCTCAGTCTACTCCCCTACTAGACTGTGATCTTAAGACCATGATGATGTTGGACATCAGTATTCATAATGGTCTTTTCATCAGAAAAGCAAGGACTAAGTTACGATAGAAACTGAAACTTAACATGTATTTGAAGAAAACATAAAGGAACTTGCCTTGTGTTTTGGCATAAATAACCTTAATTTGTTAAAGCGGTGAACTGGTGAACTTTCCCTGCACTGTGTCCATACCTACTAAAATATAAGGCAAAGCAGGGTCACATGCAGGAAATCACACTGCTGTGGCCTCTTGAAAAAGAAATGTTCTGATGCTGGATACGTCCTTTATGTGTAATACTGTTGTAAGCCGTGAAAGCAACGTTTGCAGGAAATAAATGAAATTGAGTTCCATCTATTTGGCTTTCTCTGTGTTCTTTAATGAACAGTTCTGAAACTTAAATGGAGATGGCATGAACATTAGCAGATTAATTCAAGAGCTCAGTTTGTAATTTCACAAAGTGTGTTCCTGAACTTTGTTCCTGATGAGCGATGTGAAGTTTGGGTGGCCACATGCCTGTGCTTTGAAAGGAGACCATAACACTTCAGTTCATAAGTGAGCTCTGGTTTAGAACTTCTGTCATTTTTTTCCTTGTACCTATAGATATTAAAAATAGCGGCGCTTTTTCCTTTGAGTGAAGTACAAGCAACCTATGCCACATGGCACTGAATGATTTAGAGCAAGCGGTCTCTGTTGAAAGGAGGAATGCGGAGGTAGGGACGTGACAGGCTCTCAGGTAGAGGTTAAAATGCAGTGAGAGATCTGGGGAAGTCCATCGCTCTAATAGCAGGAAAGCTGCTGGTTAGAGTTTAAGGTAGCTGGTTAGAGATTGTAATGGACAGCTCTATGCATGTCTGTCTCAGGCCTCTCTGGCCAACGCTGTTAGAACCCACTTTTGTAACAGAAATAGCTGAACGATTTGATTTGAGCACATCAAACAGGGAAAATGTAGCCATGCAGAAAGAACAGGGAGCTTTCATCAAAACAGTGCAAATGTGGATAACTGCCTTTCTACATCTCGTGCCTCTATATCAAAAACTGTTGTAATCCAAACAACTGAGTGAAACTTTCTCAAAATATGACTGATTAAATTGTAGAACTTTCATCTGAGATACATTAGTCTAGCAGAGAGCAGAGATGCAGGGAAAAATGCAGAGTTGCCTTTAAAACTGAAGATAACTATCTAACATATAACTATGTACCTCCCATAACTGTTATAAAGCCCTAGGCCTGTATTTAGCTTGTTCATGAAAATGCAAAAGTTAGCCATGAAAATGGGCAGCTTGTTTTATTCAGGTACCTTGACTGGAATGTTTAAGCTTCCAGCACTCTTTTTGCGTTCGGGAGTTTCTCCCTCTTCCACATGTGATCTGCCATCCTGGTAGAAACTGCTTAGAGGTAAAAGCACTGAGATAAGTGGTTTAGTAGGCTGCAGCAGCCTTGGTGCATCGCTGTAACCAGCCGCTGCCACTACATACCACAGTTTGATTTTCGTGCAGGTTATCCCCCCATTGGAATAGCAGCTGGCATACCCCATGAAAACTTTATGGAGCTATATATTCAATGCAACGTTTTGTTTTCTTTCTTTGTTTTTTGTTTGAGCGAGAGACATTGTAAAATCTCCGTTTTTTTTTTTTTTTTTAGGCCTATTCTGTCTATGATGAAGAGATTGGCTATTGTCAAGGCCAGTCCTTTCTTGCCGCTGTGCTGCTTCTGCATGTAAGTGGTGGCTTTGGCTTTTCTTCCTGGTTCATTTTAAAGTTGAAGTGTCCTAGACAAATGAAACAATATTTACACATGTCAGTTACCTGAACTAGTGGGGTTGTAGGCCATGCATCCACCTAAATGTTGGTTGATAATAATGTGTTTTTAGAGAGAGAGATTGTTTCAGGGCCCCTTCTGTTAGAGGTTCTGCAGGCTGGTGCTCGTGATCACAAGCAGGCAGGGACTTCGTGTACAAGACAACACTGTAAAAGTTTCTGTTAAAGGGTTTCAAACTGAGATTTAAGCTTTTAGAAGACTTTTTTATTGAAATCAGCCAAAAATATGAATGGTTATTGCCATATGTCTTGTATATGCAGAAGTGTATTTATAACATTGATGGGATGTCAGTTTGTTAGGTCTCAGTGCTTTGATGACTATGCTGCCTTTATTTGGGCTATTGTATTGTAGGCTTTTGTGTTTCTTGGCTTTAGAGGTTAGTTAAGGCTTAGAATAACTTTTTTTTCTTGCTGCTGTTAAGATACTCGGATATGTTTTTCTTAACTTTAATTGTTGTTGGTAAAAGTGACCTCAGCATAGTAATATTCTTTAATTGCTTGGGTGTTCAGAAGCCAGACAGCTTTATGGTTACTGTAAATCAAAAGCAAAAGTTGTAGGTTTACTCATGCTTGGGAAATATGAGAAAATTAGAAATCTGTACAAATTATTTATAGTCTGCTCTTTTTAAAAAAAAAAAATCTACTTTTTACCAGCGTCTCTATTGCAAGCGTCAGTAGTTGAAACTAAGCAGAGTTCTCAAGACCAGTAGGATTTTGTGATTTCTTTTCCCCAGCTAATTTTGAGTGATTGTTGCTGCCCCAGAGAGCCAAGTATAACGACTCCTCTGCAGTTTGCAGAGGAACAGGAAGTCTGGTCTTCAATGGGGGATTTTCCACAACGTTCTAAAGTCAGTGGAGGATGTAGAGGACATTGCAAACTCCGCTGCTTGAAACTTAGGCCAAATGACCAATAGCAACCTTTTAGTTCTTCATTAACTGTATTAACGGGAACATTTACTTAATGAGAAATTAATACATCATTACTATACCGAATCAGATCGAGAAGGGTGATACTTTTGATCTGATTTGAAAATGTGAACACTTTTACTAATACATACATTTGCTTTCTTTTAGCTTTTTGATTGTCATCTATCCAATTTTTTTAAATTTCCATGAGATTAAAGAGACGCGCAGTCAAGAATGGACCGTGTGTTATTCTAGAGTTCTTTCTTTAACAGTAGCTGTTGCTTCTGGGAATAAAGTATGCATTAAAACAGGCTGTGTCTCAAAAAAGCTTTCTCTTTATTTGATTCTCTTTAAAGTCAGCCTTTGGGGTGTGGCTGCTAGGAACAGTGAATATTAAAAAGAAATGTTGCAGAAAAGGAAATTAAGTTTCTGCAAGTCCTTCACTACCAGATTGAAACATCTCAGAAAAGTTTTCGTATTTAATGGACTCCATCTGCAGAGTAGTAACAGATTTCTGGAGATAGATGTTCTGGCCTTTCCGGGAACAAGTGGTTGACCTGGAGTCAGACTTTACACTGGAAATACCCAAACTGAATTTTGGTCTCACGGAGAAATGTCTAAACACTGACAAGCCATGATGAGTGTTTCTTCAGCTTTTGGCAGGAAAGGGAGACTGAACTTTACCAAATTAATGCTGAGTCATGATAAATGGAAGTTTTGTTAGCAGTAACTGGTCTCTCTTATTCCATACTGTCTAAAAAAAATAAACATCAAATGTAATAAGATGATTTAAAAATGTAATATATTGTTAAAAATAAGGGAAAGATCCTGTTTAACATCCTCTAGTACTGCTGCTTCTGTCTTAATTATGTAGGTGATGAAAGTTTAAGATGTTCAAATCTGTAGGACTGTGATTCTGACCTGATTGGACAAAGACACCAAGGCACAGAACTGCTTTGGTCTTCACATCTGAAAACAGTATTTTTGGTTGGGTGACTGAGAGGTGATTTGTTCCACTTAACAAGAATTAAATGCTGTTTCTAACACTCGCTCCCATTGTGTGTGTAATATTCTTGTTTACCTTTAAACCAGTTAGGGCCAGATTACAAAATAATAATAACTTGACCTTTCTGTAAGAGGGAGGGGACGCAGTAAGGGCGAACAGAAGCAGTATGAGAGACTTAAATACTCTATGATAAATATACTTTCCTCTCTCACAGATGCCTGAAGAGCAAGCTTTTAGTGTTCTGGTCAAAATCATGTTCGATTATGGACTCAGGGAACTTTTCAAACAAAACTTTGAAGATTTGCACTGCAAGTTCTATCAGCTGGAGCGCCTCATGCAGGTAAGGGTTCAGGCTTGTGGGAAGTGAATGGATCAGAACCTGCAGTTCCATGCATTACCCAAAACTAACAAGTTATCATATACATGAATAGTGTCTGTAACCTCTTAGTAAGGATGAGGAGTGAGGACTATCCGTACTGGAGGTTTTTTAAGAATAGAGAGTGCTGTACGAGACCACTATGAGTACGATACCGCTGGCAGAGTGCAACACGTGTGAAGGTAGGCATGTCCGACCAGTTGGAGTGGCTCTTGTATGGACAGTTGTCCCGGTGACTTCTGAGATCACTGCACACACACTGCAGAGTGGCTTTGCAACGTCAGCACATCCACTGTGTGGGTTTCCTGCCAGAGCTGGAGCACTGAGGTTGAACTCGTTGTGCATGTGATGCAGTGTCATTCGGAGCATCAACACCGGCCGCAGGCCGGCAGCGTCTTTAGAAGGTCCTTTGGTGCATCCGCCTGCTGACTGTCGGGCGTGGTGGATACAGGAGTCTGCCTGCCTTGCTGCGTTGATTGTCACTCTAGGGGCTCTATTCAGCCTTACGCTTCTGTGACTTTGGGATTTCAGCTACAGCTCCAAAATAATGTAAATTTACTTTCAGTATTTAGTCAATTACCATTTTTAAGCTAAGCCTAAAATCATTATTATTATTATTATTATTTTTTTTTTTTTAGGAATACATTCCTGATCTGTATAACCACTTTCTGGACATTAGCCTTGAAGCGCACATGTATGCTTCCCAGTGGTTCCTTACCCTGTTCACTGCAAAGTTTCCTCTCTACATGGTCTTCCATATTATCGACTTACTGTTATGTGAGGTATGTGTTATAATTAGGCGATTTGTACTGTTGATAACGTTTGACAGCTTCTCTCTGTCTTGGTTCATGTCCTGCTCTTCAAGAGCAA